TGGGTGGTGGTGGCGGGTGGTGCGTGGTGGTGGCAGGTGGGTGACGGGTGGTGGTGGGTGGTGACGGGTGGGTGGTGGGTGATGATAGTGGTTGTGGTGGTGGTGGCAGGTGGGTAGCGAGTGAGTGGTGGGTGATGGTAGCGGTGGTGGTGGGTGGTGGTGGTAGTGGCAGGTGGGTGGGTGATGGTGGGTGGTGGCGGGTAGGTGGCGGGTGGTGGTGGTGGTGGATAAGTGGGTGACGGTGGTGGGTGGTAGGTGGTAGCGAGTGGGTGTGGTGAGTGGTGGTGGCGGGTAGTGGGGGGGGGTGGGTGGTAGTGGCGGAAGACGGTGGTGGAAAATGGTGACGGGTGGTGGCTAGTATTGGGTAGTAAAAAAAAAAACTGAAAACTCAAAATGGAAACATATTTTTTCTGTTTTTATTTTTTGGCCAAATTTATAAACTGAGACCACTGATTTATAAATCAAAAATTTTACCAAACAAATTTTTATTTAAATTTTTAAAATTTTACTAAATATAAATAAAAAATTAAAAATATAAGTATTACCAAACGGCACCTTTATTTTTTGGGCACATCACATAACTCCTTTAAAAAAAAAATCAGAAAAGAATAAAATAAAACAAAACAAATTAACACAGCCAAATAAAAAAAAAAGAATTCGACGAATTTGTAGCCTCTGGCACTGCCGATAATAAAAATACCCTATAACATGTATCATATCCGCATGTTCCGCGTGTTTGAGTCCGTTGCCACTGGCCACGCGAATCAGGATCGTCCCCTTAATTTTTTATTTATTAGGTTATTGGGCTTACTTTTAAGGGGATGCACCAATAAATTCTAAATTAATAACTTATACATTATTTAATCTTAAATTTTTTTTTATAGACTGAAAGATCCCATTATAATGTTTCAAACATCAGATTAATGTTTCGAACATTAAATTTCGAACATCAGATTAATGTTTCGAACATTAGATTGATGTGCAAATGAGACTAAATAGAGCATAAGAAAACTTTTAGGACTAAATGGTTCAACTTTTCAGAAACTAGGACTTATGGGTAAATTTTCTTACTTTTAAATCTAATTTTAATAATTGGAATAGTGTATATTTTAGAGTCATGATAGAGATCCCCTCTAATCACCACCCTACAACCCCACAGACACGTGGCGGGTGGTGATTGGAGGAGCAGGAAAAAAAGAAAAAGAAAATATAACCAATGAGAGAGAGGGGGTCAAAGGGGGTGGGGGAAAAGGAGACATGAAACATTTTTGTATATTTTAAAATTTATTAGATATATCATACTTATAAAAAATCAAGTTAATCAGATATCAGAAAGCATATGTTCGAAAAACTGTTTATTAATTTTTTTAAAAAAATAATTTTTAGTTTGATGATCCGAACACGTAATTTCTGATATCTAATCAACTTAATTTTTTATAAATATAATATACTCAACAAATCTTAAAATGTGAACGATTCATATCATCAAAATTAGGTCCAAAATTAAGTTCAATAACCCAACAAGTAAGAAATTAAGAAAAAAAGTGAAGGAGAGGATCTTGATTCCTGGCCACGCTTGTGGAGGCCTTGTCCTCGTGGCTCTGCAACCATGAATAAAAGCAAACTGATGACCAGTGAATACCCCTAAACTTCTCAACTTCTCTCTCTCTCGCAATGGAAGTAGTGGAAGTGAAGAATGGTTATGGTGGTGGCGGTGGAACCACCGTGTGCGTGACCGGAGCTTCAGGTTTCATCGGTTCATGGCTCGTTATGCGTCTTCTTCAACGTGGCTACTATGTCCGAGCCACAGTTCGCGATCCTGGTCTCCAATATCGCCTTCTGAAATTCCTCTCTCTGTTTCTTCCTCCTTTTTCTTAATTGTTATGAAATGGTGGTTGAATTGCAGATAACACAGACAAGGTTAAGCATCTCTTGGACTTGCCCAATGCTACCACACACCTCAGCTTGTGGAAGGCAGATCTCGATGAAGATGGAAGCTTTGACGATGCCATTCAAGGCTGTCATGGTGTCTTCCACGTCGCCACTCCCATGAATTTCGTTTTTGTCATGGACCCTGAGGTAGATGTATTTTTTTAAATTGCTCACCACTTGCATGAAAAAACTCCTCACCTGCTGCATATTTATATGAGCAACTATTTTACTCTCAAGCGCCCGTCCGAGTTAGTTAATGGATATGCTTTTGGATTTATTTTCTAGTGTGACCCAATAGTCTATATATATCTACATATTTTAATTTATTTGGATTCCACAAATTAGATAAAGCCAAGATTTGATATAAAGTTCACTAATTAGAATTTTAATATAATTACTCTTTTAAGATATAGAGGAAACAATGGTTAAAAATTTTTCTGATTGAGTTTATCTGATCATTTTCTCTCTTCTCATATGAGGATGGGTGACTTCCTTGTCATATCATGAATATTTTTCCATCCCTCTAAATTTTATAGTCATCCTAATTAAGCGAGACGTAGAGAAGAAAGGGAGCTAAGAATTAAAGGTTCAACTATTAGGGGTATTTTCTCAACTTTTCTAATTCAATTTTTCTAATTCAATGGCCGACAAGGGTAGGTTCGTTTTATTTTTGAATTGTATTGAATTCAAGATTCTGTAAAGTTTAATTCCGCGTTATTATTATGGTTACATGTATTATTAAATCTTACATATGCTTCCTTGTTATTAATCAGACTTTAAATTACTCCCACTAATTACATTGTTTATGTGCTACTTTCAACCAATAGCTTAGCGGAAAATTTTACACCGAAAACAATACTGGACGCATGCGCAAAAGCAAAATACATAAATTTAACCGTTCCAGTTAAAATGAAATAAAATGACATTAAGCCACACATATATATTAAAACAACCTAATTTTGTGTTTACTTTAAACATAAGCAGTTCAATTACCACAACAAAATCATTGCGAAAAATTCATCACATAGAATCCTAATCCCATAAACAACGCCACATGGTAGGACTAACTTCATATATCCAAAAAATGACCAATGAGTGAAGGCCTTTGTGCTCATACCTAATCAGATTATTTCTATTGCTAGTCTGTTTCAGTACCACGACTGAAATTGAGAATTCACAATGACTTGAAAATTGAGATTATTGTTGTTGTTGTTGTGGGCAGAATGAGTATATTAAACCGACGGTAGATGGGGTTTTGAACGTAATGAGATCATGCTGCAAGGCCAAGACTGTGAAGAGGATCATATACACATCAACCATGGCAACTATTGAATACCAACAGAAACCCCCTTCCCAATATGATGAGAGTATTTGGACCGATGTGGATTTCTGCAGGGCTCGCAAGATGTTTGCATGGGTAAGATAAGACACAAACCCTCTCACATGAGAAGGTTGATCTTAATTTTTTTGAGTCCTTCACTCATGTGAGAAGTTTGTGTGCAATTTTAGGATTGGTCATGTTCCTAGAAGAACTGTTAGTTGGTAAGCATTTCAAAGGAGAAAAGTTATGGAAACAGAAAATGTGCATAGAATAGTACATAGAAACTCTAGCGACCGTCTTCAAAGTTTCGAAGACACTTTTATTTTAAGTATTAGTTAAGAATATTTTTAAGTTATGTAAGTTTGTCTCTCTAAATTTTTTTGAAAAATTTAATACCCATTCCATTCAATTTAATATCCCCATAAATTAGCATCCAGGGCCGGCCCAGAGATTTAGGGGCCCAAAGGTAAACTTTGGAAATGGAGCCCTCTTGCATTGAAAAAAAAGAAAAAAGTTCATGGATAAAACGATAAGTTATAAATTTTTTATTTGTTTGTAGCCACAAAAAAATTTACTTGCACATATAATCATTAAAAGTATAAATAAAAATTTAATTTCATATATTAAAATAGGAAACAATCATTACAAATACTTAAAAAAAATAAAAATCTAGTCTTGTTGCTTTTTTTGGGGCCACATGTTCAATTGGGCCTATAGTATTTGGACTTTTTTTTTTAATTTCTAAAACACAAAATTATATTTGGAGGCCTCTATTTTCAGTCCCAATTTGGAGGCCCAAGACGTAGACTTCTCTTGCCTACCCTCACGGCCGGCCTGTTAACATCCAAACTACTGCTACCAAAAAGAATGACAACTCCAGCAATACTTTCCGACAGGGTACAAACATTTGACTATATGAACCCAGGTTGTTTTAAACAAGAAAACTTCATTGTTTGCGGGTCAACTTGTGTAGAACATTAGTGAATTGGAAGAAAAATCATACCCTGCTTGTTGATGATAAAAACTCAATGTAGAAGAAGACCGGACCCATTCCACATACGAGATCTACAAAAGCAACCATCATTAGTGTTTAGTCCACCATTATAAAGAGAGTATCCACGGAGAGGTTGTGTAATGAATGGTGGCATACCTTAACCTTTGGTGTCTAGGTATATAAATATAGATGAGTTTATCTTGGTGAGCAAGCCATTCTAAAAGCTCCCATCCCATGGATATGATGTGGAATATTTCCTTCAGGCCCTCCAATCGAGCTAGATATTTGATAGAAAATACCTAGTCGAGTAACGTCCCATATCCCAAGGATATGCTATGGAATATTCCTTCTAGAGGTCTTCCAAACAATCTAGCTAGGTATTTCATAGAGAATGGCTAGGTAAGTTAGGACTTATTCCAATAATGATTTTCTCATCTAAGGGAAACTAATCTATATACATCTAGACTCCCAAAGGTTGAGGTATGTAATTATTCACTACTCAAACTCTATTGGTATCTCATCTTTGATGGTGGATTAACTGAAGTGTGTGAGTTCTCCCGACCGAGTTCTAATTACTTTTGTGCATCTCACACTCGAGACTTTTCCATTGGGTTCACATCATCAAACAAGTAAGTGTGATTTTTCATCCCCTACAATTAGCTACAAGGCATCAACTTTTCCGTCTCTGACTACAATTCAATAATCTTACTTCTGATTTCGTTGTCGAGTAGATGTATCTTGTGGCAAAAACAGAGGCTGAGAAAGCTGCATGGAAATTCGCAGAAGAGAACGGCCCTGATCTCATCACCGTCCACCCCTGTAGTGTGATTGGACCATTCATTACACCATACAAGCCTCCCTGCACTTCAATGGCACTTGCCTTAATCACTAGTATGTTTTATTCTCAACCCTATATTTTGGGTGCCACCACAGCTTACCTGTTAATAACTTACATACCTTACGGTACATGTTGTGTAGAAAATAAAGCTTTTTACCCAATGCTGACCCAAGGACATGCCGTACACGTGGATGATGTGTGCAACGCTCACATCTACTTGTTCGAGCATCCACAAGCTAAAGGAAGATACATTTGCTCATCTCACTCTTTTACCATATTCGATCTTGCTAACTCATTGAGCAAGAAATACCCGGAGTACAACATTCAGACCAAGTATGTGAAAGAGAAAGATAGTGGTTTGTTTTGTTTTGTTCGTTTTCATTTACAATTCTATGTTTTCAAAAACAAAATAGTAAAAGTTCAAAAACACCCATAATATTCATATCGTTTTGCTTTTGTGCAAAATTAATTTTGGTATTCCTAAAAAGTGGGTTATTTTTAGAAAATTTTCAAAAACAGAAAGAAAAAAAAAACGAATAGGCCAAAAAATAATATGAAAATGAAGTGTGTCGTGTAGATTTCAAAGTTGGTTTGGTGTGAGTCACATCATTTGGTCCGAATGTTTCTTTTTTATTTTATTTTATTTTTCAAGAGTGCATAGCAATAGTATTGCTTGTGCTAATTTTTTTTATCATTAGTTCATATCTAACTTCATGTTTTGAGCTTTGCACAGATTTGAGGACATTGATGAATCATTGAAGCCTATCCCTTGCCCATCTAAGAAACTGTTGGACCTTGGATTCAAATTCAAATACAACTCTGATGAGTGTGATGCAGGGGATTTGTGTGCTGAAGCTATTGAAGCATGCAAAGAAAAGGGGCAGATGCCATCTCTATAGAGACTGCAGACCGAGACATTTACAGGGACTAGAAAATAAGAAGGCAAAAAGGCAATAACAAGAAGAAAGAGATTTCTCATGTGAGTAGTACATTGAAGAATATCACATGTTATAGTTGGGGAAAGGTGTTGGTGTGGAGCTTTGAACCCCAAATTTAAGGCACTACTATTCAGGCAAGGCATGAGGTCAATAAATAATTTTTTTTATTGGTATATTGGAAGCCGTAGTTTGGGAAGAGTGGGTTTGTCTGTAGCAACTTGAATTATTGATCTCCTAATAAGGTGCAAATGAACTAGGCTCATTTTGTTAAAAAGCAGATTTCAATGTTCACGGTGTTTTAATTGTAAGAATTTTGAATGCATAATTCATTATTGTAATTTGTGTTGTTTGTTGGTGCTTCTACAACTATGATCATTGTCATCTATCATTGTTTGTTTCTTTTGCATTTGGGGCTGAGAAATGTGGTGTGGGTAATCTAACGAATTGCCATAGGAATTAGGGACCGAAAGAGAATTCTACGTTTGTTGGGCCAAAACATGACCAAGAGTTTTCAACAATTGATAAAAACTATTATTATACTGTTTCTAAGCTGAAAAGTGATAAATATACATTAATATTCAATGCCAAAATTAGTAGAATAATGTTATATGTACCAATTAATGTACTAACTAATGTACCAAATGATGATATGACATAATTTAAGAAGTTTTTGAGATTTGTAGTGTGATTAATGAGTGAAATTAATAATAATGTTATAACTAGTGTTGATACATTAGTTAGTACACTAATTTATGCATTTAGCGTCACCAAAATTAATATGTAAAATTTTTGGGGAATCAACCTTGGTATTATGCGGGGTACTTAGAGATAAAAATTGTATCTTTTCCCCATATTTCATATAGCAATAAATACATATTAATTAAATATATTATTGTAATTAATAAAGGCAATTATCTAAGTGGAATTTTTAAAAAATAATCATATGTTATATGTACTAATTAATGTACTAATTAATATATCAATTGATGATGTGACATAATTTAAGAAAATTTTGAGATTTGTAATGTGATTAATGAATGGAATTAATAATAATGTTATAATTAGTATTGATACACTAGTTAGTACACTATTGTGCATTTAGCGTCACAAAAATTAATATGTAAAATTTTTGGGGAATTAACCTTGGTATTATGCGGGGTACTTAGAGATAAAAATTGTATCTTTTCCCCATATTTCATATAGCAATAAATACATATTAATTAAATATATTATTGTAATTAATAAAGGCAATTATCTAAGTGGAATTTTTAAAAAATAATCATATATTTATGAAAAAAATTAAAATTTTAATTATTAATAGATATACTAATTTATAATTATTTTTTAAAAATAACGCATGTGTGTGAGTGATTTTCTGATCACATTACCCGTTTAGTAATCAGCTAGAGAGCACCGGCAGAATAGATGGCTTCAGCTAACCTGTAACAGAAAGAGAAGGCTCCGGCGGTGGTTCTTCCACCCGGGGGCACTCTGACGATCAAGTTAGTATATCTCTCAAAGATAATCCATTATTCAACTCACAAGCTTGAGCCTAAAAAGCATACCTTAGACCCATGGGAGTGTCTCTCTTTTATAACCAATATAAACCTAGTCCCAATAAAAGCCTAACTTCTATGGACTCAGGATTACTGCTAATCTTGGACTCCCAGTAAGATTAGGATAAAACTCTCTAAGAGTCTTATCTTAATACAAACTGAAGTCTTCTCTCATTCTAGGACTCTTGTCCCTCATCCAGGTTGAGTTCCCTTTGCATTCTAAGACTATTGTCCCTTATCCACTTATCTCGGATTCCGATATCTTCGGAGATAACCTCGGCCCTGTCGAGATCACCTCGGTGTCATGACCAGGACACGTGGCACCTCGGTTGACACGTCGACGTCACCTTGCCACGTGTTGGTACTCAGAAAATATATCCCCACAACTGCCCCCTAGGTTCTATTACCTCGGCGCATTCTAAGGTGATGGAACATACACTGTTCGTTCATCTGTGCCTCTCTATCCGAGATCAAACTTGCCAACCTCAAAGTTCCCTGGACTTTACTGTCCACTGGTGTCAAGAATCAAGTTTCATGCTTTCCAATCTGCTTGAAATCGCACATCCTAGCCGAGGTTCTGGTTCCATTAATTCGTAAACTCCAAGAGCTTTGCAACTGCTCCACTCACACTCTCTGGTGAGTTCCCGATTTTCAGTCATCTATTTTACTCCGGCGATTTTCATATCGGCGTTCATTTCACTTTGTAGGTTCATAAACTCTTTACTTGCTATTAAGCTCAATCTTTCATAACTTTTTTGAATCTGTTTACTTGTTATTTGTTGCCTTCTATTTTCGTCTGTCTTCAAGTTTTGAATTATTTGAATGCCTGGCACTGTTCTTGTCATATCCGCTTTCTGTTGCTAGCATCGTGTCTGGATCATTACTTTCTTGTTCTTCACATACTTACTTAGTGCCTGTGCACTTAGCTTTATTCTTGAACTTTGTCGTCTTCTTGACTATTTTTCTCTTTTTTCATTCAATCCTCTGGTTTTTTCTCTTTCTAGCTCTTTTGCTTAAATCCGTCATTGTTCCAAGCTTTCAAGCTTCTGCAATTGTCTTCGTTCCTCTCCTCCGGTGAAGCTTACGTCATTCTGTCATTGTCATCAGACTACGGCAATTCTCATTCCGGCTTCCCTCTTTCTGGTAAGCCACTGTTCCTCCTGGTTTTATTTCTTGTTGCTTTCCAAGAAGCTCTGCTTCATTGTTAATCACCATTGTTGTTTTACCCATTGTTTCCAAATCATCTTCTTGAATACACACTGTTCACACATCTGTTGATTTCTGCCACTGTTCTTGGCTTGATACACTTGTGCAATCTTTTTGTCTTGATTTCCTGATAGTTTCATCACCATTCTTGATTGCGAATTACATTCTTGTTTCTGTTTTCTGTGTTTTTTTTCCAGATTCTTGCTTTCAATCCTCTCCTTCAAACTCCGAGGTGCCAATTGCCGAGAAGAGCCTTGATCAAACTCTTTGGGAGATCGATGCAGAGCTCGAGGCCGAGAAGGCTGCTGAGAAGTCTTCCCAACTGTCTTCTATATCCTGCCATTGATGTCAGGTTGTGTTTCCTTCTTTTACTCCTTGTACCTTGTACTTTGTTCGTCTTTGTATGCTTTTAATCCGGCTGACGTGCCATTTTTGTAGTCTGAATAATTTATTTTTCAATATTCAGGCCGAAGTGCCTTCTTTCTTCTTTAAATGCATTTCTCTGATTTCTTCTTTGAATGTATGTCTTTTTTTTTTTTGCTCTTGTATGATTCTATACTTAGAATAATTTGCATGTCTTCAAAGTACACCTTGACTGTGCAATTTCTTCGGGTAAAATACCTCTGATAGACAAATTTCTTGTAAACTTTTAATAGATGTTGAACATCATACTGGTTTAACTTAACTTGTAAATTGTCCACAAATTTCAACAACTGTTAAATAATGATTTCGGCTTAACTTCAACTTGTAAATTGTCCATCAATTTTAACAAGTGAAGATAAACAATAATCTTTGCTTAACTTCAACTTATAAATTGCTATAAATTTCAACAAGTGAAGATAAACAATAATCTTGGCTTAACTTCAACTTGTAAATTGCTACAAATTTCAACAAGCGTTAAGTATTACTTCGGTTTAACTTCAACTTGTAAATTGCTACAAATTTCAACAAGCGTTAAGCATTACTTCGGTTTAACTTCAACTTGTAAATTGCTACAAATTTCAATAAGTGAAGATAAACAATAATCTTGGCTTAACTTCAACTTGTAAATTGCTACAAATTTCAACAAGCATTAAGCATTACTTCGTTGTAACTTCAACTTGTAAATTGCTACAAATTTCAACAAGTTAAGATAAACAATAATCTCGGCTTAATTTCAACTTGTAAATTGCTACAAATTTCAACAAGCATTAAGCATTTGTATCTTCTCTCTGCCCCCAATGTGAACCTAAGTTCCACTTGGGTTCTCATTATTCAGAAACAACAATATGCATTTTTTATCAACTCACAAGTCTTGAAAAATTCTACTAAGATTTTATTGATGACGTCGACAAAAAGAAAAAAAATAACAAGGAACATCTAATGATAGAAAAAATTCAAATTACAAGTGTTCCAGGGTCTTGGCAATGCTTTGCCCTCATTATCTTCAAGCCGGTATGCTCCATTGCTTAATACCGAAGTAATTCTGTAGGGTCCTTCCCAGTTTGGGCCAAGTTTGCCCTCTCTGGGATCCTTCTTGTTGCCAACAACTTTTCTTAGGACTAGGTCGCCGACCTGAAAATCCCTTGGATTAACCCTCTTATTGTAAGCTCTAGCAAACTGCTGCTGCTGGTATGCTGCGAGCTGAATTGCAGCTTTCTCTCTTCGTTCTTCTAAGAGATCTAGATCTCGAGCTAGAAGTATGTCATTAGTCCCATTCTCTACTCCCTGGGTTCTGATCCCTGGGATGCCGATCTCCAGTGGGATGACTGCTTCTGTGCCGTAAGCCATGGCAAAGGGGGTTTCCTCTGTTGATCTTCTCGGCGTAGTCCGATATGCCCAGAGTACATTAGGCAACTCGTCTACCCATTTTCCTTTTGCTTCCTGCAGCCTTTTCTTTATCCCATCCAAAATTACTTTGTTGAATGCTTCTGCTTGCCCGTTGCTTTGGAAAAAACTTGGTATTGAAAAGTAATTCTTTATCTTGAATTTCGCACAAAAGTTTTTGATAAGTTTGCTGTCAAACTGCGTTCCGTTGTCGGCAACTATTGCTCTTGGAATGCCAAACCTGGTGATGATGTTTCTCCATATGAAGTTCTTGACGTCCACATCTCGGATTTTGGCAAGAGGTTCTGCTTCTATCTACTTCGTGAAGTAATCCGTTGCTACCAGCAAGTACATCCTTTGCCCAGTTGCTTGGGGTAACTGCCCAACGAGATCCATGCCCCATTGGGCAAATGGTCATGGGCTGGATACAGGGTTCAGGTCAGCAGCTGGCTGGTGTATCAAAGGTGCAAACCTTTGGCATTGTTCACACTTCTTCACGTAGGCTTCTGCATCTTTTTGCATGTAGGGCCACCAATACCCCTGGGTAATGGCCCTGTGAGCTAGTGATCTGCCCCCAGCATGGCTTCCACAGATCCCTTCATGAATTTCATATAGAAAATCTTCAACCTGCAAAGGGTGTATGCACCTTAAAAGGGGTCCAGCGAAGGACCTTCTGTAGAGATGTCCGTCTGCTGTTAGATTGAATCTTGTTGACTTCAATCTGACCTTGTGTGCTTCCTTATGATCTTCTGGTAGCTTTCTCTCTTTTAGGAATGCAACAATTGCATCCATCCAGTTTGG